TCTTATTTTGGTGGCTGTAATCTTTAATATAATGTTGAAGAGAAGTTATTATAGTGAAATATATTTCCTATTCCATATTTTTAAAATGTCCTTAATGTTTTACCATAAAGTATGATATTTGCTATAAATATTTTTCATGTCTACTTATTTTTGTTTTATTTCTACTTTGTTTTAAAAATATTTCCCGATCTTTCCTACTTAATGGAAGTATTTATTGTTTCTCTAAAAACAATAAACATACTTATTATATAATCTTTACTCAAATTCTTCTATTTTATTTATTCCGTGGTACCTCATCCTCTGTTTACGGACTTTTTGGACTTCCTTATTATTTTTTCCCTTTAAGTGTACTTTGGATTTGGGGGTGCAGATTTACCTTGTTAGAAAGGTTTCTCTGTTTCTCTCTTTCTTATTTCCTTCTTCTGCTTCCTATCTTTTTTCTTTTCCCTCCTCTTTTTCCACCTCCTCCCCTTCAAACTTTTGAATTTGCTTTCACTCATCCTTTTGCAGAACTAGAAGCCGGCATGGTTCAATTCTCTGTCCTGAGGCTGGGACTAGGCCCTCCAGCTTTCATAGCTCTATTGCTACATATCAACTCTAATGTAGAAGCCACTTGGCAATACCCTTTTTACACATCATTTCACCAGTGGGAATTGCAACCCTGGCACTAGTTTCAAGAAGTGAGCCTGGCTCAGGTCCACATCCCACTTGGGAAACACTTTCAGTCCAGTTATCCTGCATAAACTCAACTCCTAGCTGACTTTGCCTATTTCTGAACAGGGAGCCAGGAGACCAGCAGGACACACTCTCAGGCTTGCTTTCTCTTTTGCATTTCTACTTCACCTATGATCCAAGGAGATAATTGTCTTTATTTGTTTGTTCATTTGTTTTTTGAGATGGAGTCTCACTCTGTCACCCAGGCTGGAGTGCAATGGTGTGATCTTGATTCACTACAACCTCCACCTCCTGGGTTCAACTGATTCTCTTGCCTCAGCCTCCTGAGTAGCTGGGATTACAGGTATGTGCCACCACACCTGGCTAATTTTTGTATTTTTAGTAGAGAAGAGGTTTCACCATGTTGGCCAGGCTGGTCTTGAACTACTGACCTCAGGTGATCTGTCCACCTCGGTCTCCCAACGTGCTGGGATTACAGGCATGAGCCACCATGCTCAGCCAGTTTTCTTGTTTTAAAGCATGGAAATCTCTTTTAAAATTTATTATTATATGCTTTTTCCTCTGGTGTAATGGGATAGTACTTAAGCTCACAATTTACAACATTGTCTTAACATAAAATCTCTTATATTTGTATCCAGTAATGGACACAGGTTATCCACAAATGCTTGATGAATCAATGTAGACATAGACAACTTCATGCACAGAAATAATAATGCCTATCTTACAAGACTGTCTGGAGGCTTTGTTAAATAAAATGTGTGGGGAGCCACTGTTTTGAACTGAACTCCTGCACTAGAACCCAACAGACCAAACCCCTTGATAGGGTTTGGCTATGTCCCCACCCAAATCTCATCTTAAATTGTAGCTCCCATAATTCCCATGTGTTGTGGGATGGACCCGGTGGGAGATAACTGAATCATGGGGGCAATTTCCACCATACTGTTCCTGTGGTAGTGAATAAGTCTCATGAGACCTGATGGTTTGATAACGGATTTCCCTTTTCACTTGGTTCTCATTCTCTCTTGTCTGCCACCATGTAAGATGTGCCTTTTGCCTCCCACTGTGATTGTGAGGCCTCCCCAGCCATGTGGAACTGTAAGTCCATTAAACAGAAGAAAATGTATATGAAAAGATGTCAGCCTCACTAGTAATCAGAGAAATGCTAAATTTCTTTATAAATTACACAGTCTCTTGTATGATTTTATCAGTAGCATGAGAACGGACTAATATAACCCTCATACTAAGTACTATATAATAAAACTGAAACTATAAGGAAGAAGAAAAGTCTTCAAACAGACCAGTTTTTCCTAAAAACAGGAGATTCAAAGCCACCCATTGGGAAAGATCCGGTCAACCTGAGCCAGCATAATATGAAAGTCCTCTGTGCTTTAATCTTTACAAGGAAAGTAACTTGATATTAACCAATCTGCTTTTTTGGTTTGTTTGTTTTATTTTGTTTTCTTGTTACCACTCAAATTATATTATAACAAACTCGTTCTGCCATGCCGAATGGAGCGCTCTCTAATTTTAGATGAGATGCTACCTGATTCATGAATTGCTAATACAACCCAATTCTATTTTTAAACTAAAGTTGTTAACAATTTTAAGTAGTCAGGTCTGAATCATACTTTTTTTCTTTTTTTTCCAGCTAGTTTTGTACTATCTCATTTAATACCTTGAGGATCTCTGATTGTTACACAGGACTTTGTGGTGGGAAGAACATTGCATAAAACCTCCAAAATCTGACAGCCTTTTGCCTGAGGGCAGATTTGGGGAGGGGAGTCAAATAACTTCACAACTGGAAGGCAGGCATGAATGCTGGACTTACGAAGGAAGCCACTTGACTCTGGGTGGGAGAAGGTGATGTAAGGAGTCTAAAGCCAGATCTCCGGGCTGGGATAAAATGAGATGTGGGATTTCGCAGTCAGGAGAGACTTACTTAACCTCTTTTTAATCTGTTCTCCTCACACAAAAATCAGGAAAAAAATAAGTTCTGTGCTTTCCATAACCCACAGCATGTATTAAAAGTTGGCTAAGAATGTTAGTGAAGCACTTTTAGCTTCCTGGAGGGGAAAAAGGGCAGCACTGCATGTATTAATTTTAAGTGTTTTTGTATTGATATTATTAGCAAAAGATTCAAAATATTCTTTTTATGAGCCCTTCTGATGTAGAGGTGTTTATTAGACATGCTGTACAATTCAGTTATTTATATTGCTTTTCCTTAACTTTATTTTTCTCATATGTAATTTAAACAATTTAATAAGAGAACTTGGTTAAGAAAGGCACTAAAACTCCCATTCTCTTTGTTACACACAGTAAAACTTAAATCTCCAAGGGGAAATACATTTTAAATATATTTGTATTCACCATAAGGCAAAGCTCTATCTGTTTCTATTCCCTCTTTGAACCTGAGAAGAACCTCCATACAAGAACCTCCAACCTCCTTGGGGTTGGCCCTCTTGAATAAATGTTGACCCAAGACTGTAAGAAGAGGCATGTCAAATATCTGGCATACCTGCCAACCTATTGCTGAATGTATATTCGGCTGCCAAAAAGTCTCTTCTAATAAATAAAAATAACTGCCTACATGAAGGAACCAGATGCTATAGAAATAATTTTGCTCAGCTTGAAGATGTTTTTCATGAACTGCAATTTTCAGAAACAACAATTTGCCTCTGAACAGACTTTAATAATGGAAATTGAAGCAGTTTTAAGACGAAAGGAAGGTTGGTGTGTTTGAATACCCACAGAATGATGTATTTCCTAATATGAGGTGACAGGTATGAAATGAGACGACAAAATTGTTGGCATTTATAAATACATTATTTATATTCTTTCCTGAATGCAGGTATCATACTTTGATTTTTATCCAAAAGTTAAAAAGCTGTGAACCCAGATAAAATTTAACCAAGGGTTATTGTACTTGTGTCATTACCAAAACGGGACCTCTTCGACTGCTTGAGTGTAGAGTAAGTCCACTTTCATTTTAACCCTGGTGTCTGGAAGTTTTTCATCTGTAAAACTGTATAAAGGGTTGAAGATGACATAAATTCTTCGGAGTTGTAGGGTTTGCATCAATATTTTCTCTCCTTTAATGACTTGCACATATTTTACTGTGATTACCACAGGAAAAACAAGTTTGATCTGAAGATCAGAATCCTTTAATCACTTGTCTGTGTTGCAAAAGAGGCAACATTCCCATTCTGGGCTGAATTATCAATTGATTAGGCCTAAAGCAAGGAAGTTGACAGTTCAGAACACATACTATGCACCAATCTTTTTCAGATAGTGTGTATTATCTGATCCTTATAACAGCCTTATAAAGCAGAAAGCATCACTTCCATTTTTCTAACTGAGGAACAAAGTCTTAGAGAGGTAAAAGAACTTTCCAAAGGTCACACACTAAGCACGTGGAACAAGGGAAATTTCAACCTAAGTCTCCCTGGCTTCAAAGGCACTGCTCATTTACTTATTTCTCAAAAAGATCTAACATTCCAAAATGAGGGCTCAAAGTGGAGTGGTTAGAGGAGGCTTCCAGCTCTATTCATTCTTTTTCTTTAAGTTTATGAGCTTTCAAAGATGATAAGCAGATGTTAAATATGTAGACTCAAACCAGAAGTATCCTTATCTTGCATCTTCGCTGTGGAGAGAATTGGGCTCTCCCTCCAGAATGAGCTTAAGTAGCTATGCACACTCTCCTTCCAGCCCACCTCTCCCATCACCATGTAATACCTTCTCACAGACCCCAGTGCCCTCTTGCCACCAACAAGCTATCTTCTGTCCACATCTCAGGTCTTTATTTCCAAAACAACGCCTCATCCTTCAAACCTCTTTGGTCAGTCAGCAAGCATTTCTCAAGGGCCTATATCAGCCAAATAGTAGAAATAAAGGATATAAGTAGAAATAAATAATCACAGTTCTTGCCCTCCAAGAGTTTATAGTCTTGCGGGGAAAAAAGGCATCCAAGCAGTTACTTGTAGTACAATGTGATGAATACTATATATAATACATGTGACAAATACTCAGGTTTATTTACTGAAGCACAGGGGAAAACACAGAAGGAGAAATTAACCCTGCCTGTGATATTTGGATCAGGCATCTCAGAGGAGATAAGCTTTCTGTGGTGTTTTGGAAATTAAATAGGAAGTTACATAGCTAAAGAAAAAAAATAGAAAATATTTCCAGAAAAGGCAGATTGTATGTATAAGGGCCTGTAGGATTAAGTAAATGGCTGTGGGAGGGGCTTGGCATGACTCAGATAAGAAGAAGAATTGTGAAGTGTATTAGTTTCTTGTATCTGCCATAATGAAGTACCAAAAACTGGGTGGCTTCAAACAACAGAAATTTATTTTTTCACAGTTCTGGAGGCTAGACATCCAAAATCAAGATTGACAGGATCATGCTCTTCCTGACAGCTCTGGGAAAGAATCCTTCCTTGCCTCTTTCTGGCTTCCAGTGGTTGCCAGAAGCAACCTTAGCATTTTGTGGCTTGTAGGTGCAACACTACAGCCATGTGGCCACCTTCTCCGTGTCTTCACTTTGTCTTCCATATGTGTACATATGACTCTGTGTCCAAATTTCACCTCTTTATAAGGACACCAGTCCTGTTAGAGTCCATGTTGATGACTTCATTTTAATTTGATGATGTCTGTAAAGATCCTACTTTCAAATACGTTTATATTCTGAGGCTCCAAAGGATAGGGCTTCCACATACCTTTTTTGAAAGACATACAGTGCAAGTCATAATAGGGAGGTAAACCAGGAAAGGTAGCTTGGGAACGATTGTGAGGAACCATTTATTCAAATGAACACTATAAATAAATCACATATCACATGCCAAACATTTTGCTAGTTAAAAAAAAAAAAAAAAAAAAAAAAAACGTTTACAACATAAATAAATGGAAATTAATTTAGGATATAGAAAGAGAAAGACTATTGTATCAATACAGAGAAAGCTCTGCAATTAATCATTCTAAACTTAGTGGCTTCAAATAACCACTTGAAAGAACCAATCATTATTTCTGATTGTGTACCTACAGGTCAGCTGAAGCCCATCTAATCTAGTCTGCACTCATCTGAGAAGCCTCAGCTTTAATAATTGCTCATCCTCCTTGGATAACTGGGCCAGTGGGGGGCATGTTCTTGTGATAGTGTCAAAAGGACAGGGGAGTAAATGAAAGTCAGTCAGGGCTATCACTTCTGACCATATGTCGTTAGTAAAAGCAAGACTTACGGCCCTCAAGTTTAGAGGGAGCAACTATAAAGTTACATGGCAAAGGGAACAAATATAGAGAGGAGTGATGAATTGGGGGCCATCTTCCTATGAACTTTGCAGTCAAATAGATCTAAGGTAACATGAGATACAAAGATAGATATTTAAATAGATTTGTTACCTATTGCATAAGCCCTTAACTCTCTTTACAGCAGGCAATAGCTTGTTCCTGTAGAGTATTTGAAGTAAAATTCTCTCTTTTCTTTACTCCTTGTCTTTTAATCTTCTTTTATTTTATGGTTAAAGAAGGAAACAGTCGATATTCAAGACAAAATGATAAGGACTAATAATGGTAGAATATAATATATCCCCAGGAACACACTGAGGGACTCTGCCAAACCTAGGTAGGTTTTGCTTACTCCATCACAATGAGGTAAAAGTGGTGGAATTTCAGTTATACTCTCAGGTTCGGCACAATCTTCCCACTGTCCTTAGGCAATTAGGGGCATCCACCTAATTCAGCCGTATGTAAAATAATTGCGGTGCTAAAGGATACCAGAAAAGCCTCTCTGCCTGTTTCTCTTTATCAATCATCACCAATTGACAGTGATGCCAAAGGCTGTCAGGATGGCTCCTAGAAATGTGGATTAAATCTAGACCCTGAGACCGTGTCCAACTCTGTGGTCTGTCAACACCTTTATGCTGTCAGTACTCAATCAGTGCTCTTCCCCTTCATCATTTCATTAATATCATCCTCCCACCAGTAAATGTGCACTCTGCCTCACAGCCATGGCAGCTCCCACAGACCTGAAGTGTGAACCCATCTCTGGGCTTCAGCTGGCAATTGAATTGCAACAGAAAACATACCAACGCCTGATGTGTGAAAAAGACGAAGATCTGAATGGCACTAGGCTTCATCGGCCAGAAACACATATTTTATGAAGAAAAAACTTAAAGGAAGGAATAAATGACTCTTTAGGTTCACTACTAATAGCTATTCTTTTTTTCTCTAATTTTAAAAGTAGAACATGGTCATAGATAACTGGGAAAATTACAGAAAGGCATAAAGAGAAATACAAAAACGACCCATAAGAGTACCACTCAGAGATAACAACAGTTAACATTTTAGCATTTTTCTTTCCTGTCACTCTTGCATACAGATAAATACATATTTTACATAAAAGTAGATCACAGAAAATAGATGACCCACTTTTTATTCATCTTTAATATTACGAGCACTAACCCAGATCGTTTTCATTAAATATTCTTCAGAAACATGATTTTTATGCATTAGGGTAGTCCACTTTCACATTTCTCTTTGTCCTGTTTGGCATCCATGAGTCCAAAATAAAGGCCTCATATTAAGGATAGTTGTTGCTAAGATGTTGACTTTCTATTCTCAATGTTTGTCATATCCTGGGTCCTCTAGAAAGTGTCTGTGAGAAAGGGTATGTGCACCATTAATTGATTGGAAACACAGTTGAAGGAAGCAGGAGCAGGGGATGAAGGGAGAGAGGCTGGGAAGGAAGGAGAGTCAATACGATAAAGCATTTTCCAGCAGGTTGCCATGGGACTGCCTGGGAAGCTCTATAATCAGAATCAAAAGATCATCCATAGGAAGACGGAAGGAGACTATCCACAGGCAACCATCTGCTGCTGGACAAAGATTCACTCCACCGAGTACCAGTGTTCCTGCATTTCTGGGTTGCACATGCATGAACACCAGGTGGAGTCTCTTGCCATTGGCCTGAGGCAAAGCCCTGTTAGGTTGGGGCTGTGTGGAGTCATGGGAGCTGGTGCACAGCAGCAGCTGGAAAAGAAACAGGCGGGTCTGACGTACTGCAAAAAAGGAGTCTGATTCAATGCCTTGTCTACAACTTTATGGCTATTTAAAAAAAAAGAGACAAAAACCATAAATGTTTAAAAGAAATATTTCATTGTTATTTTGACAATGTTAGGCCTCAAAGAGAGATAAGAGAGAATGAAACTGTAAAAGTTTTCTTTTACAGGAGAGCAGAGTTGGTGCATCTTATCCTAGTAAGACAGTCACAGACACCTGCCATTCCTTTCGTTCAAAATCCTCCTAGTAACAACTGCTCTGGGATGTCTTTCTTTATTATTCCCCCCCAGAATGAGCATTGTATAGTGCACCCATGGCATTTTTGTGCTCTCTTCCCACTGCAGTCACTATGACAGTATTGTAGGGTGGGTTCTCCACTTAACAGAGTAGAAATTGCTAAGTACAACTGTTTAGCCTTTTGTATCTATGTGTGTACTCAAAATTGTGAAGAAACTTCAGACAGAATTTTAGAGGTAAGAACACTTCATTTAAACACATAAATAATATCAAATTCCCCTTCTGTAAATAGCAATGCTTTAGGCAGTTCAGTGGACATGGAGATTAATTAGATATGTCAGTAAAGGCTGCAGATAAGGTAGCACAAGTATACGAATGTCTTGTCCAACAAATACTGCTCAGTGATCCACTTATTCACGCCAAGCATGAATAAGAAGTAAACAAGAATCAGATACAACCTTTTATTTCTTTTACAGTTAAAAAAGGAGCACTTTATATTTGTTACAAGCTGAAAGTGCATTTATATATATATTAACTAGTTAGATGTTTATTATAATCCTGGGGAATGGAAGTTAAGGCCCCAGGTTCTGGATTAAGAGAGGTGTCGTTTCAACTTTGGTTTTTGTATTTGTGGTAGGGCAATGGATGGAATTTCAAGTCTCACGTATAAAACAAAAGGAATAATGATAATATGAACTTTACTCGGTTGCTGTAGAGAATAAAATAAGGTAATGCATGTAAAGCACTTAGTACATTGCCAAGCATAAAGTAACTTAATAAATATTAGCTGTTTGTTATATTGTTTCAATTTCACAGTGAGTTTAAATGCATTGTTCAGGATTCCATGTCAGGGTGGGGCTGGAAGAACCCTTTTTTTCTGTCTTCTAGGCTAGCAATATTTCTTTTGAGGTACAACACTGGGAAGCACAGTTGCTAGTTTCAGACCTCTGGTCCTAATGCTCAGAGCAACTTTCTGCACTAATGGACAGTCAGTAAACATAGTTGAATAACTAAAAGGTGGAAGACTGTAAGTCAAATCATATAGTTGCTAATGTATAATAAAGACAAAATGTGTTTCAGTACTTTGCTTGGCATTGCTTGGGAGAATATTAAAGATATCAAACATTATTGGTTCCTTTGGTCAACTGTCTGGTGAGAAAAAAGTAAGTGCTCAGATCATGAACAAATCCTTCAGAGATAGGTTATGTTTTAGCAGAGTTGGCCTGAGCACTGAGCACCAAGATGTTCAGGAGATAATTCAAGTTCTCATCATCTTGTCAGGTGAAAAGCAGGGCATGGTGGGAGTGACTGAGGAAAGGAAAGGCTTTTTGCTTCTGACAGAGGAAAGACCTGTGACAGAGACTTCCACGACCCAGGCATCTCAGAAAGGGAAATGGTTCTGGATCACCAAAGTCTAACTCAGTGGGTTTACATCAAGAATGTTAAGTGCATGCAGTCATTGAAATGTTCAAGTTACTGAAGCCCAAGCCAACTGGAACAAAAGGACAGCAGTTGCATCAAGAAAGAGCCAGTGGGATGGAATCCACATCCTGAAATGTAAACCTGTGCTTGTTCTCTGGCAACTAAGGGCTTTGGAAAAGCATATTGCAATTTTTCTATTTCATTACCTGACTATTACTACAGTAGACTTTCTAGTTACCATTTATTGAGCATCTACTATGTATCAGGAACACACATACATTAGCTCATTTAATTAGCTTCCAATTCTCCTATATCCATCAGGGATTGGAGCTCAGGGAAGGGACTTTATTTGTTTTGCTCACCTCCATAACCCCAGTGCCTAAAACAGTGCCTAGGTTCTCAATAGAAGAGGATAAATATTATTGTCATCCAAACCTGAAACTCAGAAGGATTATGTGACTTAGCTAAGAAATGGAGGGGCTGAATCTGGAATCCAGATCCATCTAACCCCAAGTCCTGCCCTCATCCCCTGCATTAGTTTCTCTTACCAGTTTCCCCACCTCTAGGTTTCTCCCTTTTCAAAGGTCATGTCACCACGATTAGTCCCCTAAAACACTATCTTTATCTTGTTTTTCAACTGAAAATCCTCGAGGCCTCTCAGCTGCCTTAAGATGACATTCAAGCTCCCTGGCCTAGCATTCCAGGTCCTATGAAATATGGTCTTTACATCACTAGTTTGCACTAAAGCTCGAATGCAATATTCTTGCTCTTCCTTGAGTAGGTCTTGTGCACATCTGCCCTCTATCTCTCTCCCTTTCCATGTCATTTGAGATGACTGATTCATTCTGCCCATCCATCTGAATCCCTCCTATTCTTTAGAATTCAGCCCACAATGCACTTCTTCAATGATGCTTTTCTATTCCAGCATGTAATACTTTCTCGTTTTGCAGAAATTTCAAATCTGTTATTATGTGCCCCATTCTTTAGGTCATTAGATAATATCTCACAATTACTGGTCTTCATCAGGAGTATAAAACTTGTCTCCACAACTAGAGTATAAGCACACTGAGGGCAGTAATCATGGCCAGAATCAACTTGTAAAAGACAAACACTACATTTAGCATATAAAAGCTATTGGTTGAATGATTAATGCAGTTAAGCATTTTGGGTTAGACTAGCTAGATGGCATACGTTAAACTTGTATGTGCGTGTGTGTGTGTGTGTGAGAAAGAGAGAGAGAGAGAGAAATTATTGGTTTAGAGCAAAAAAAAAAAAAAGTGCAAACACTAATATCTTGATACTGTAAAATGTCCCTTCCTTTTCCTCTTTCTTTGCTCCTTGCCCTTTGCTGCTGGCAGGATCCTTGTGTGTCTCTGTCGAATGACAGAGACTGCCAATTCTGGGAGACATCCTGCTGAGAGATAAATCCAGAGTCACATCAGCCTGGCTGGGCTGGAGTTCAAAGATCCTGGCCAAGATTTCAAACTGGCTCTATTCAAGAGCCACGAAGTTTTGAGTGGCAGATTTTGCTGCAAGATTACTGCAAGATTGCTGATGAAGATTCTCAGTGACTTCAACGGGAACATGATCAAGCTCTACCCAAAATGCCAAGTCAATTAGAGACTGGCACTGTGAAAAGCAAGAATTAGGAAAGATTATTATTTATTAACCCTTGTTCATGCAAAAAAAACACAATGATACACTTCTTAGCTTGGAAGTATCATTCAGACTAAACACTACCGTTCCTTCCAAATCAATCAGTTTTAAGGGAAATGCTCATTTATCTGACAAAATGTGTACCATGTTAGAGTGGAGGTAGGAGAGAAGCTATCTATCTCCTTCCTGCACAGGCACATACCACCAAAATAAATAAATACAAAGCTGCCTAAGTCCATTCTGAAAAGGGCTGTTTCGAATCCTTTTACGGTAAGATAATGATTTTTTGTTTGTTTGTTTTTTGTTTTTGTTTTGAGACGGAGTCTCGCTCTGTCGCCCGGGCTGGAGTGCCTTGGCCGGATCTCAGCTCACTGCAAGCTCCGCCTCCCGGGTTTACGCCATTCTCCTGCCTCAGCCTCCCGAGTAGCTGGGACTACAGGCGCCTAGTTTTTTTTTGTTTTTGTTTTTGTTTTTTGTATTTTTTAGTAGAGACGGGGTTTCACCGTGTTAGCCAGGATGGTCTCGATCTCCTAACCTCGTGATCCACCCGTCTCGGCCTCCCAAAGTACTGGGATTACAGGCTTGAGCCACCGCGCCCGGCTAAGATAATGATTTATACGGAGCAATCTCCCATCAGCAGCTATTCCTATTCTCGAAAGAATTCAGTTGTTCCAAAAAAACAAAACAAAAACAAAAACAAAAACCTACTATTTGGAACAATCTCCTGGGAACTATTGAGAAACCAGACTGGGGTCTCTACACCGTGTGGAGCAGAGACAAAGATTTGAGCTCCTAGAAGCTGCTCTGGAAATATTCTTCAAATAGTTGTTCACTTAAAAACAATCGTTTCTTTTTCTCTGTACAATAGAAGCAGGTTGGGGGCTAAGATTTATTCTGAAATGGATAGCCACTCTGGAAAGGAAGCAAGTATACGTGTTACACTAAATTACAATTACTATTGACTTGTTTTCCAGGGTACAATGGAAGTAAGTAGAAGCAACTAGAGAAGAATGAAAGCTCCTTGAGACAGGAGCTGTCATGTTGACCTCTAGGCTCTCTGCTTCTGGCATATAATAAACACTCAGGAGTGTTTGTGTGATGCACTTATGCTTGCACAAGTAAATAAATGGGCTAAGAAATGAATAAAAGTAGTGGGTTTGTTTTCCATCCTGGCTCTTACTGAGTGGATTATTCCCAGGTTATTAGAATATTAGTTTTTAAAACTCCTCTGCCATAAGTAACATCTAAATTTACAGTAACTAAAACCTAATGTTTCCTGAATTTCCCATAGCTTTCAAATATTTTAACCATAAAGGGCTAAAATATGCATGTCCACTCAGAATGTTCCACTGGACACATGTCCCAGCTAAAAAACACTAAACATCAATGATGTGTGTGATCTCTAAATGTCAGTATCGGGACTTGACCATCTTTCTTGACTCTGACCACTAATGAAAACACTCTGTGCTACGTTCCAGAGCTGCAGGATGCTTGACAGATTTGCTGGAAATTTTCACACTGCTCTGACCTCTCTACTAGCTTCCAGGAACACCACTTCAATACCTTGTAATGCCATTACTGTCACTCCCAAACAAGTTCAGAAATATGTGCTGAGAAATGAAATTTTCTTCAGACATTTCTTCACCTAAGCCTTCCAACTCTGAAAGATAGAAGACTCTATCAAGTGAGTCAATTTTGTCTTAAAGGCAAACAAAAAGTTATTGGTACCAGGTTTCAAATATTTAATGGAAAGTAATACTTGAAGCACGGCTAAAAAAAAAAAAAAAAGTTACTGCTTTTAGGTGCAACTTGAAGAAAATGAAAATACTTTCTATGTCAGTAGCTCCTGAAGCATTATTTTATTTTTCAAGGTGCATAATCCTTGTAAGTAATCTGATTATTTCTTAACATCAACAAGGATTGCTTGTAATTACTTGCCTCAAAATTCTCATCCCAGGGTTTCAAAAATAAAGTGTGTCCCTGTAACTATGATGGCAATAACATTCAAAAGGTGCACAAACTTTAATTCCAGTTCACATTCATGCAAAATGTTACTTACCAGGAAAATCAAAGCAGCTGAGACAATAGACAGCAGAACTACCTCCAGTTACTTCCCTTCTTCTATTATGATTCCAACTATGGGGAGATGCTCCCCAAGTGTGCTTGACTATATGGGGAAGCACTTCCCTCTGTGAATCACAGGCCAGACCTTAGTAGCATAAAATCAAAATAACCAGGATGTAAAAGAAAGAAAACAGTTAACGTGGCCAAATAGGTGAGGATACTGGTTCTGTCCTCTCGCCAAGTGGTTAATTCCCCCTCCTCAGCAGGTCTGTAGTTGGCTTCAACCTGAGGGGAAGAGGGTGGAACACCTTTAGGAGACAGTGGATGCTATTACCTCCAGCTGTGCCTACCTAAGCAAAATGAATTGGCTAATTGAAGCAATTATTTGGCAATTCAAACCCAAACACCTCACCATCGGGGAGCAATGAGGATAATTTGGAGTTTTTGCCAAATTAGGTTAACTAACGACTTTCTTTGCATAGATTTAAAAGTTGGGTTAAAGAAGTATGGTACTTCCATTTTTGAAGACATGGGATCAGGGTCCACCTGGGTTTACACTGAACTGTGAGCAGTGTGTGCATGTTAGGAGTGGGAAGATCTAGGTTAGTGGTTCTCAAATTTGAGTATGTATCAGAAGCACTAGGAGATCTTGTTGGAATGCAAACTGCTAGGCTGCACCCCCAGAATGTCTGCATCACTAAGCCTGGGGCCTGGGAATTTGCATTTCTAACAAGTTGTAATTTTGCAGATTTCTAACAAGTTCTAATTGATGCAGATGTTGCTGGTCCAGGCAGTACATTTTGAGAATCACTGACTTAGGCTTCCCTCTAGAGAAATGTAAGACAGTGTAGACGTATGATAACCTCACTCTCTCTGATCTCTTGAAAACCCAAATATATAAGATTGGTTAATATTTATTCATTCAACAAGCAAACATTTTGTTGAGCACTCACCATGTGAAGCTCATCTTGCTAACACAGAGATAAAAGATCACCCTTTATCCTAAAGAGGTTCCTAGTCGCTGGAGACACAAAAACAAGATGAGGATGAGGCTGTGTGAGAAGTGGTATCACAGAGGTACAGACCAATTGCCAATGAGAACACGGAAACTAGACACAGACTGGCAGTCACCAGAAAATTTCCTAGGCCTGGCAGGGTAGCAAAGAACTGAAAATAAAGGTAGTATTGTTGAAGAGTTTGATTGAAATTTAGAAAAGCAAATTTTGAAGGGGAAAAAAACTGAATCCTATTATCAACTCCTTGAACCCGCTACTTCCTCATTATCAGTAGCTGTTTCACTTTACTGAAAAGCAACCATATTTGGTAACTAATTATTTACAGGTGAACAAAGTTATCAGCTTTGAAAGTAGACAATGAGGGCCAGGTGCAGTGACTCACACCTGTATTCTCACATTTTGGGAGGCCAAGGTGGGCAGATCAACTGAGGTCAGAAGTTCCAGATCACCTTAGCCAACATGGCAAAACCCCAACTCTACTAAAAATACAAAAAGGAGCCAGGAGACTCTGTGTCCAAAAAAAAAAAAAGAAAAGAAAGAAAGAAAGAAAAAAGAAAGGAAAGAAAATAGATGTTCTTGCAGTTTCTTTTTGACAAACAACTGCAGACAGCAAGGTACTTGTTCTGCAGTGATTTTTTGTTATGCAAATAGTTTGATGCAATTCACTTTTGAAAAATTACATTGACATTCATAGCTAACATTTGCCCTGGTGAAAAGAAATGAGTATTAACTTGTTTAGCCAAAGTATTCAAAAATAAGAGTAAATAGCACTTTTCATGAATTCAAAATGAAAAGGATGTCCATGTTCCTTAATTTGAGGCAATATGCCAACATTTATTCTTAATAGTACTTCACTGCTTTAATTAAGATCAGATAAAAAACAAATTGCTATAATTTACTCACCAACATTGTGGTAAGGCTTTTTTCCTTCTCTTTGGTTTTGGGACTCCTTAGTTGAGATGTATTTCTTTCCAGTTTTTCTTTTCTTCTTTAGTAAACCAATGAGGAAGAAGATTGTGTATTTTTTTCCTTTTAGCAAGAAGACAAAAGTCTTCATTCTATGCCTAGATTATTTTTGGAGGTGGACTAGAGAAGTAACTAGAGAAAAGAAATAGCAGCTATGATGTAGGCAAATCAAAAGGCAGTTAAATAGATAGATAAGCTTTATCTTCCTTTCTAACTCTAAGACTTTATGGTACCTATTGATATGGTTAGTGGTTTTGTGTCCCCACCCAAATCTCATCTGATTTATAACCCCTATAATCCCCACATGTCAAGGGAGAGATGAAGTGGTGGTAATTGGATCATGGGGGCAGTTTCCCCCATGATGTTCTCGTGATAATGAGTTCTCACGAGATCTGACAGTTTTTCAAGTGTTTGGCAGTTCCTTCTGCATTCATTCTCCCTCCTGCTGCCTTATGAAGAACATGCCTTGCTTCCCCTTGCCTTCTGCCACGATTATAAGTTTCCTGAGGCCTTCCCAGCCATGCAGAACCATGAGTCAATTAAGCCTCTTTCCTTTATAAATTACCCAGTCTCAGTCAGTTCCCTATAGCAATGTGAAAATGGACTAATACACCTATAATAAATTATTACCTCACTTTTAGATTACAACTTTCCCTTTGATTGGTAAAGAAACATCTTCATTTGTAAACAAGTCATGTTTCAAAAGTCTGCAAGCCACTTGTTTTAAACTTGGAATGCTTTTGCCCCAGAAATATGTTATAAATGGAAATCAAAGTACACTAGTCCATATAAGCATATTTCATTCATAATATAACTTATCTATTATAGTAAAATATAGGGACACCAATAAAAACTAATAAATTACATGTAAGATTAAAACAGAGGTTTTGAATGGAAAACTCTAATATTCCATCCTCAATACACTTGAAGAAAAGCAGGTTTAATTAGAGGCCAAGAACGTAGATGAAAGTTTTGCTAAAGGTGATGAAGTGGGATCCTGGTACTATTCATACATTGGTACCTGATAACATTTGCCCTTATTTACAACATTATGTCAAAACATATAACAGGTGTAACACTATATGTCCTTTATGCTCATTAGTCATGGTTCTTGTAGAACTTTAGCTTGTAAATAAAGTAAAGAGAGGAATAAAAATTCCCCCTCACTGGAATGGCAGTGGTACTAACTAAACCACTTGAATCATCCATTTGTAACCCTTCTCACTTTTGCTTTTCTTTGTTTGGTCATTCCATTAATGACTTCTCCACTGGTCCAAAGATCTATGAGGGTAGATATCTCATCAGTTTTTGCTAATCATTATATCCCCAGCACTTAGCAGAGAGCCAAGTACACAGCTGCTCAAAAATAATTTTTGAATGGATGAATGGGTGAGTGAATGAACAAATGAGTAAGAAAGAGAAAAAGGAGAGGCCTAAAGAACATAGAATTACAGATGTGTTAAAAATGAGTCTCTGACATTATGTTTATTATTCTCTGTGCACCAAAGAGAAGAAAGAGCAGTAGCCAAAACAGGGGCATAGAAGGAGTTTCCCAAAGGATAAAGACAGTTATTAGGACAATTTGCTTGCTGAAAATAGAGTAATTCAGTGTGTCCAAGTTTAGTTTGGTTGCTGTTCCAAAATAAGAGGAATTGAAATTGATCAGCCTTAGGATAGTTGAGTGGCAAAGAAGGCCACCTGCAAGTACAATTAGTGGTGTACCAAGGGTGGGCTAATAGAAGAGGTCTGCACAGCAAGCAGGCAAAGGGGTGGGTGGGAGCACTATCTGTAGAGAATTTAAAAAGAAAATCAGTCTGTTTTTTTAGTATTACTTTGTAGCTACAATTCTAAAAAATGTCAGTGATAAAATATTCCTCCGTAACAAGATCATTTTGGTTTAAGTTCTAAAAAATTCCTGTAGTTACTGTTTTGAGTTTTAATTACATATATGTAAATTCCAAATTAGCATAATTTAATTACTTACTCTTTAATAAACCTTGCAGTCTAAGTTGAAATTAACTCAGAAAACTTCTAGTTGTACAACGGGTCCCCAAAACAGGTGACCTTGGGTACACATTTGAAAAAGTAAAATCTTCATAGGGCAGTTTGAAAAATCATTTGTCCGTTCCTTGATGTAAGTATTTAGCATTGGTCGTAGGTGTTTTAGCCTAAGATTGCCAGAATATAGAGCATGATACAAGGACGTGCTGAAAATATTTTATTGGGAAGTGTGATCCCAGGAAGCATGTGAGGAGCAGATGGGGAGAACTAGGGAAGGTTGGAGTGCCAGTACAAGGATGTGTTATCAAGCTGGCCATTGCTTCGGGAGAATGTCTGCTTTGTTTAGCAAAGACCATCTGAGAAGCTCCATGGAACACATTTCTGAATCTTTTCCTTGCAGTTGGAGAGAGGAGTATTTATCCATGGGCTCCCACCATAGGCTCTTTAATCTCTCATGCTTCTAGGTTTTGGTTCACATTGTAACTTCACCCAAAAAGCCCTGAGTGGGGGTAAGATGCAAGGGAAACCTAGAGCAAAGCACTTTCAGATTGTACCTGTCTGAAGCTACTTAGACAGGTTGGAGACTACTTAGAACTGGTTGCTCCTGCAGTGGCTTAAAGCAACAGGTAAGGCCCAGATGATTTGAAGTGGTATATGGAGGCCGTGATATATGGCAAGTAATGCGATTTTATCATAGATTTGTAATTTTTTGTTTTATAAGTTCCTTTCCTATGAGGACTTCAATGTCCTACATACCATAATCATTGGGTCTGATAGAAGATTTTCAAGTTTTCACCACTTGTTAATTCTTTGAATATTTATTGAATATGTACTAATATTTATTGAGTGTGCCAGGCTTTATGCAGGGATAGAAATGTAAAATATGACAGATTCTTGACTCTCATAAAGCTCACTGTTTTTTCAACTCTGTGCCTTCCACTGTACTGACACACAGTAGCACCCCTTCCCAACCCATATCACCTTTTTTTAAAAGAAAGAGTCTTAATCCATCAGCCAGACTGGATTGTAATGGGGCTATCATAGCTCACTATAACCTGAAACTCCTGGGCTCAAGTGATCCTCCTGCTTCAGCCTCCCAAGTAGCTGGGTCTATAGCCATGAGACACTGTATGTAGACACTACACTTGCCTAATTTTAATTTTTTGAGGAGGTGGAGTCTTGATATGTTGCCTAGGCTGGTCTTGAACTCCTGGCTCCAAGTGGTCATCCAGCCTTGGCCTCCCAAAGTGCTAGGATTCCAGGCATGAGCCACGGTGTCTGGCCGGCCCTTTAAAAAAAATACAGTCTTCTTATACAATCAGAATTATTAGCACAATGAATAGTAAATGATATGCAAATCTGAAATGACCAGAGGAGTGTCCCATTAGATAAACCATTCTACTATTTTTGCAGGAAGTCTCTTACCCACAGGCTATAATGGCTTATGTCAGCCCTGGGAGTAGAGACTGTTTACTTTATTATGTATGTACTGCCTAGGGATGGGGAGGCTGAAATTTAGACAGATTTCTGTACTTATCTGTAAGGCACCTCTGAGGCATTAAAGAACATTTGGAGAAGCTGAAATCCAAGAGCTACACCAGCAGCAGAAGTGGCCACTCCTCCACTCACCTGGCAGTCTTCCCAGGCAGAAGGTAGAAGATGCCTTGCCTCTCTGCCAGCACTTCTTCCTTGAGCATCCCAGTGGCCAAACCACCACCAGCCGACTCTACCCAAAGTGCCTGGTTGCAGGAGCCAACTCGTTTCAGCATATCCCTAGAAGCACTCAGGTGGGAAATACATTGATTCATTAAAACCTTTGATGCAAAGTTAGCTGCATTCTGTCTGTCACAAGGAAAATGCCATGCCAGGGACATATTTATATGACAGTAAACTTTTAGTGCCTTAGAAAGCTGCTGAATAAAACTAAAATCAGAATAAAATTAATCAGATGCTAACAGTTTGGAAAGCAGGTAAGTTTTCCTAGCCCTACTGTTAGTGGTTTCCTTCACTCCAGACCTATCTTCTGGCCTTCCGTGACAATGAAGCCCTTGGTAACATCATGCTTATTACCCCCGAATTAGCTGATGTATGAGGAGCTGTCACTGTTCCTTAGTATTCACATTAAACTCTCAGGGCGGAATGACCAGAGCATGCCGGGTGCTTTATGTGGCAGTCAAGGCAGCGAGGTTGCTGGAGGCTTTCAAGGGGAACTTTCCACCCGTGGGGCGTGGCGAGGCCTTTGTGTAGCTGTGAACAGGGCAGAGGTCCCAGGCTGGGAGCGCGAAGGCCAGAAAGGTAAACTCAATCGGCTTTTTAAAGCGCTTGCTCTAGTGATTGAGCACATAGCCCTCTAGAAGCAGCCCTACTTCGCTCTCCAAAGAGAATGTCATGTTTCAAAAAAAAGTAACGATTTCCTCTGGGGAAGAGATCTGCAGTCCTGGGATCCCTTTTCTCCTGGTGCCAATGGCAGAGTTGGGGAGAAAGTGCCCGACAGAAAGCATAGGAGGACATGCGCCAGCTGCGCTTGCCTTAGAGACAGATGTGAGTTGCTCTCTCTCTCTCTCACTCTGTGTGTGTGTGTGTGTGTGTGTGTGTGTGTGTGTGTGTGTGTGTAGGTGGCGAGTAGGGAGGGTTAAGGTTGCTTCTCTGCTGGGAGGAAAAGAAAGACAAAAGTGTGAGGATACACAGAGCAGGGAACGAGTGGAGTCCCCTCTCCACCGGGGCAGTGTGGGAATGGAGGGAGTGCAGTCAGGGGGTCCTGGGACTTGGGTGGGTGCTGCAGAAGTGACCAGGAGAGCTGACAGGGTGGAGTCGCAATCATCAAGCTCCAAATCAATCATCCACCCCTTCACAGTCCCTCTCCCCCATTAAGGCAAAAAATGTTTAAAACATATTGGGGGTAGGTCAAGAATGAAGAGACTGCACCACGTTAGCTGCTTAGTCTAGTTCCCTCCTCCACAAGGTAATCGGATGACCCCAGGATCTCAATGTTTAGGAAAGTCGTAGGAGCCCTCACTGGGAGGCACATTTTTAGTCCAGAGGCACGGCATTTGCTGGTTTAATCTTCACACTGCAAACTAGCCTTGGGACGTTAGATAAACCATGTTAATCTCGATGTGCCTCAGTTTCCTCTCTGTCCCAGGAGAGTAACGCGTTCTTTACCTGCACGGGGCTGTGGTGCGGGTGAGACCGAACGCAGTGTGCGAAAGCTCTCCCAAGCCAGCAAGCACCACGCTCTCTCCGCGGCAGGAAAGCACGTTGGTGTTATCCTAGAGCCCCAGAGGGCTGAGGGAAGACTCGAGCTCTAAAA